TGAAAATTTTGATCTCTTCCTTTCTTTGAAGTGACTAGCTTTACACGGGACACATCTTTTACAACGAAAAACCTTTTTGGTCCAGAAATGTCACCCTATTTAGTGGTTCTGTTACATTGTGCACCAATTTATTTCTGAGATTGGGTGCTTTCCTATATAGGAATTTAGGTCTATTAGGCAGTATTGTTTTACAGGACCTTGCCTGTTTATATTTTACAGTTCCTTCTATTGCCTATTAAAACCACCTTCCCCCTGACATACTATTTCATCCTCAGATCAAATGTGTGAATAGAGACCAATTTCCATTCTTTTAAGATTTTTTTTTTGTTTTCCTATCATATCCTTTTTCTTGAAACCTTCCTTTCAGGATACCAGCTTGTTTCTTATATTTCTCCTCAAGGTAACAGTTTCTTTAAATCCTAATCATTTGTCCCTTAGGAATGTTACCTATCCACTGCAAAGGGTGAAATGGCTTCACAGTTCTCCTACACAAGCCATGCCCTCCTGACACATTTTGCCGCACTCACTGGGGCTTGGTCATAAAGGTCAGTTTTTTCCAGAGATCAATTACTTCATTCATTGATATGCACTTTTGGTCAGAGGGTAACCCGTATGCTTCCACCTGTTAGGTCTCCTTTTTTGTCCATGGGGCATATACTACATCCTTGTCTGTCTCTTTTGCCTTCATTTTTTGTCAAGCTTCAGTCGTCAGGAAACCGGCCCTGCACACATTAGATGTGGTTCGGGGAGTCAAGGCTTACGTGAAGATGTCTGTAGCAATTGGGCAGTCTGATTTATTATTCATCCTTCCTGAGGGTCCTAGGAAAGGTCAGGTAGCTTCGAGTTTGACCCTTTTACAGTATATTAGTCAGCTTATTGACCCAAGTCTATGACTTGAAAGTTAAGGATCCACCTTTTCAAGTAAAGGCTCACTCTACTAGGAGTCTCTTAGGCCATCATTCATCAGGCGTCTGTGGCTCAGGTTTGCAAGGCTACAACCTGCTCTTTGGTTCAGACCTTTTATGAGATTTTACCTAGTAGATGTAAGAGCTGCCAGGGATGCTGCTTTTGGCCACAGTGTTTTTCAAGCTGTGGAGTAATTTCCTTGGGCCTGACAGTGGCTACTGTGTCTCCATCTCCTCATGTGCAATGCTTTGGGACCACCCAGGTAGTCATCATTATAGCCTGCTCTGTGTCCTGTGATGTACTCCCAAGAAATTAATTTTACAGGCAAGTACTAAAAAATATTTTTTTGTACAATCCCAATTCCAATAAAGTTGGAAATCCGTGTAAAATTCTACATAAAAATAGAATGAAGTGATTTGCAAATCTCAAATCTATGTTTTATTCACAATAGAAAATAGAAACATATCAAATGTTTACACTGAGAAAATGTAAATTTTTTTTTAAGAAAAAAAGAGGTAATTTTGAAGTTGATGGCAGTTGGGACAGCGTAACAGAAAGTTGGCAAAGTAAGTACTGTAGTACTAACGAGGAAGAGCTGGAAAACATTTTACAACTAATTTGAGCAATTTAGCAACAGGTCAGTAAGATGACTGGGTATAAAAATAGCATCTTAGAGAGTCCATGTATTAGAAGTATGTTGGGTAGAGGTTCACCAATCTGTAAAGCTGTGTCTAAATTGTTTCAATTTCAGAATTTTCTCAATGAAAAAACTGCAAAGGCTTTAAATATATCTTTATTTACTGTAATATCACTATAATATCTAATATGTGCTATAATATCAAAAGATTCTAAGAATCTGTAAGAATCTCTGTGCACAAGAGAAAATGCAGTATTGGATGCCCATGATCTTTGGGCCTTCAGACAGCACTGTAATGAAAACAGACATGATTTTGGTGATGAACATCACTGCATGGGCTCACGAGTATTTTCCAAAAATCACACAGTTGCCGTGCCAAAATGCCAGATAAAGCACTGTCATGCAAAGAAGAAGCCATATTTGAACATAATGCAGAAACGCTGCTGTCTTCTCTGGGCTCATTTAAAATGGTCTGTTACAAAGTGGAAAACTGTTGTGTGGCCTTCCGGAGAGGTGCCATCTGGCTTGTTATCAGCACTCCATTCAAAAGCCTGCATTTCTGATGGTAAAGGAATACATTAGTGCGTATGGAATGGGCAGCCTTAGAAAGGCATTGTCAATGCTGAAAGATACAGTATATCCAGGGTTTAGAGCGGCATATGCTCCCATACAGTTGATGTCATTTTCAAGGAAGGCTTTGCATATCTCAGCAGGACAATACTAAACTGCATCTATGACAACAGCATGACTTTGTAGTAGAAGAGTCCAGGTGCTTAACTGGCCTGCCTGCAGTCTATACCTTTTACCAGTTGAAAATATTTGCTGCATTTTGAAACAAAGAAGACCCAGGACTGTTGAGCAGCTAGAATCCTATATCAGGCAAGCATGGGACAACGTTCCTGTCCCAAAACGCCAGCAACTGGTCCTCCGTTCCCAGACATTTTCAGAGTGCTCCTAAAACAAGAGAGGATGCTGTACCATGATAAACATGGCCCTGACTGAACTTTTTTGAGACGTGTTGCTGCCATCAGTTTCAAAATTATGGTTTTCTTAAAATTACACTTTTCTCAGCTTAAACATTTGAAATGTTTTCTATATTGTGAATAAAATATGGGTTTATTGAGATTTTCAAATCCTTGCATTCTTTTTATTTTATGTAGATTTTTACATTTTCAACTTTTTTGTAATTTGAGTTGTACTTTCCATAAAATCTTTTTTGTTCTCCATTGGGAGACACAGGTCCTGCTTTGTGCACAGCTTGCTTACAAAACATAGACATGCTGGATAAAAGGCAGGGCTACATGAGGGCCGGGTTATAACTTTTTTTTTTTTTTTTTTTTTTCCTTTCTGTAGGCTGCAGTGTAACCCTTAGTATTTCAGAATTCCTAAATATATATACCTGCATTTGACTTGGTTACCACCTTTTGCAGCCCCATAATTGTGAGTGAAAGAAGCAAAACCAGGAGCCAATCAGATTGTGTCCTGACAAGAAGCATGCTGGTGGTGGATAGATAGGTGAATAAAGCACAATGACAGAGGGATGAGCTAATCACTGTGCTACTTATTCTTTCACTGTCCAGTCAACAGGCTGGGCAGATCCAGGATGCCTTGGGCTCAGAGGAAGTAAGTTAAATCATACTGGCCATTGGAGTGAGAACATTTTAGCAGTAGAACAAAAAAAAGTACTGAGTGGAACAGCTCAGGTTTGAAGGTGAATATTACAGCAAAAGCTGGGCTATTTATTTTCATATTTACCTACTTGGCTCTGCTTTAATTTAAATTGCTTAACCGGCTCCCGCCCGGCCAATAGCACAAAGGCAGCCGGCAAAAACACCTCGTCCCTCTGAGTGGACGCTATATGGCGTCCTTTCAGGTATGCGCGGTGCGCCTGCCCGCAGTGCCGCTCTGTGGCGTGATCTGTCACCGGCCGTGTACCTCGGACACGGCCGATGACAGATCTGTGTACCGGCCCTGTTTCCAGTACCATTTGACCTGCTGTGACTAATCACAGCAGGTCACATGACAGTTGTATACAATAGATGGCTTCCTTTCATGCCATCCATTGTATACTAGTGTGTCTAGCTGTGAATGGTCACAGCGATCACATGCACAAGCTGGGCCAATCACAGCCCTGCTGTGTCATGTGATTAGCCGTGGCCAAATCACAGCTGGGCACAAAAAAAAAAACCCTGGATAAATTGATGTCATTCAGGTAAATGCTTGCTTATAGCAAAGTAATTCTTTGCTATAAGCAAATTGTGTAAAAAGAAAAAAAAAATACTGATCACTATGGTAACATTATACTACTTTGGTCATAGTGAAATATGAAAAACAAATCCTAGAGAAAATTAAAAAAAAAAAAATAAACTAATAAAAAAAATTATTATAATTTTTTTTTGTGCTGTCACCAGTCAGTGTGCCTGATCACTGCCATGCCAGTTATATAATGATGCTGTACTGCACTGGTAACAGTATGTAAAAAAAAAAAAAAATTGTGAAAATATTTTTAATTTTCCGAAAAATTATGACAAAAAATTTACAACTTCAAAAAACTCGCCATGCCTATAATAAAATATGTCGGACTGTCTACTTTGCAAAAAGTGGTCATTTGGGGGATATCTGTACTGTTCTGACATTCTTGGACCTCAAGAAATTAGATTGGCCATCAGTACTTCAGGATTGATCAATATTCAGATATATACCATAGTTTGTGAACTCTATAACTTTCCTACAAACTAAATAATACATCCTAATTTGGGTTATTTTCACCAAAGACATGTAGCAGAATACATCTCGGCCTAAATTTATGAAGAACAATTATTTATTTGCAAACTTTTATAACAGAAACAAAACAGTGTTTTTGTTTTTTTTTTCAAACTTTTCAGGCTTTTTGTTAATTTACAAAAAATAAAAACCCCAGTGGTGATTAAATACCACCAAAAGAAAGCTCTAGTTGTGTGAAGAAAATGGTAAAATTTTAGTTTGGGTACAGTGTTGTATGACTGCACAATTGTCATTCAAAGTGTGAGAGCGCTGAAACCTGAAAAATGGCCTGGGCAGGAAGGTGTAAAATTGCACGGTATGGAAGCGGTTAAAACCCTTCCTAAAAACATAAAAAGCATATTTTTAATTTTTCTACCACACATGCTTGAATGAGCACTGACAAAAGCAAAAAATCCTTTGTACACACCTTTTGTGTGTGTGATTCCTGTTACTAGTAAAAACTAATGAATGTACACTTAACTTTGATGCTTACACTCAACATGCAGTCTGCAGTCATCTTCCTTTGTTGTGGCAGCTGCAGAGTAATCTTTGTTTACTAATCATAGGACAAATAATAAAGAATTATTGGGCTAAAAAGGAAAAGTGCTTAGTTGCCATCAGTTTGAAGTAATAATTTTCACATTTCTTTACAGGTGAGGCAAAAAATCTGCTCCCGTACCCAGGACCCAACAAGATGAGAGACTGCTTTTGTACTGTGAATCTGGACCAGGAGGAGATCTTTAGGACCAATGTTGTTGAAAAGTCACTTAAGTAAGAAATATTTTATCTTCTATCCTTTTGGCTTTGATGCAGAAATGATAAACTACATTTTTCAAATTATTCTTCAGTAATTATTACTAATATGCCTTTGTTATCAATTGGTATCAGGAGTATCTTCCAAGCCATTTGCAATATGTGCTCTAAATGGAGGGAGGTATCATTACCCACCATGCATTCCAGCTACTGGGGGTTATCTTTATTTAAAAGAAAGCCATCTTTTTTTTTTTTTGGCATCATTGGAGAACTAAAACTGCAAACATATCACCAAATTAGTCTGAGTACAAACCATTTGTGTGCTTTAATTTAGGGTGAGGATTTCTTTTATGCCCATAGCATGACATGCTGGGAATTCTGTCTTCTTAACAGCAAGTTTCTAATGCCTTACTATAAAGTAAGTGCTTAAAAATTTTTCTGTAGTCAGTAAAGTTTTCTGCATACATTTTGCCTAACCTAACAGTCTATGTACACAGGAAGCTGTGGTTTTGAATAAAGAAAAAATCTGACACAAACCACACTGGGGTTCCTTTTTAACAATGAGTTAAGTGTGTCAGTCTAGTTTCCTTTTCATCCTTGTGAACTTGAGTGGCCTGCCTGCCATTGATGTCTGATCACCACTGTTTTCAAGGTATCTCGCGTAAGGCATTTTATCGACTTTTTAGGAGATGTGGCTTTAGAAAACTTATGAGAAGTTGGCATTTGAATAAACAAAACCTCTCTTACAAGGGAAACCACAGCAGTTTGACTCCTTGTTTTTGCATCATTTCCGCTGTTCACTTCTTCAGTAATGACTATTGCACAAGAGTCATTTCCGGGTAATGTTCTGCTGACGTGGCGTCTCTGGTTGACGTGGTTCTTTCAGTGATACTTTGCATCTTAGTTTCATTCATCTATCTTCGCTTCCTGGAATTTACCAGCTACAAAACATACCTACAGACAAAAGATTAAATGTTTTCTGTTACTGACATATGATGAGGTAGTAATCATAAGTCTGTACAGACACCCTGACACCTTCAAACATCCCACAGCAGACCCTTCCAAAAAAAGAATGCTGCGTTCTCTTCTGTTTGGGCAGACCGAATGCAGGGCAGCTGGGTGTAATTTCTGTCAGCTCTGCTGAAGCTGAGCAGATGCAGACCTGTCATCTGCTTGCTCTTCTCCAATCAGCAGGAGATCTTTAAGAGGATTCCCTGCTGACCAGAATACAAACCACTCATGTGAAAGGGCCCCTAGTCTCAGAAGTATTGAAAAATGTAAATACTGGTCTATACATTTTATTTAAAAATACCTTGTTTTGATTCTCCAAAAATGTTAAAGGAAAAAAAATCACTTTTATACTTCTGTCATTCCTGCCTGTTGGGACCTCCCCTGTCAGTAGCCCAATTTGTGGCCTATTGTTGAGGGCAGTGCTCAGTTCCCAGTTCAGTGTCTGCACCTGCCATACATAAACAGAACAATCATTTCTAAACATATTTTTGGTTTTATGTGTTCCGCACTTTGTGGAAACCGAGGTGAGAACTGACACGCCTGTCTCTGCTTGTACTGCCTGGAGAAGCATTTGGTTAAGCATCGGATGTAGCCATTTAATATTTTTTTTTTTTTTTTGTGTCATAGCACATGTGGTGTTCCATAGGTTAGCTAACCAAAAAGTTAGAATGTTTTTATAAATGGGAAGCAGATAAATATGAGGGCTGTTCAAGTCAAACCAGGACTTTTAATTTTACAGATATAAAAAGGGATGCTAGCGTGGCGGTACTACACATAGTAGTACGTGGCAAGTGTGTCCTATGACTGATAGGCGACGCACATGTCGTGGTCCAGTCCAGAGATTGTTAATCAAGATGCATGGAACAGCATGTGGTGATGAAGTTTCTTGTGAACGAAGGCATAAAACCTGCAGATATCTACAGAAGACTTCAAGCACAGTACGGTGATGAGACAATCAGCCGCATTAAGACATTTGAATGGTGTAAACGTTTCAAAGATAGAAAACTAATGAATAAAGCTCACGAGGACATGAGATCAAGGGCACCACATCCCAACCCATATAACAATTTTAAAACCTAGGTAATTAGATTTTTGGGGTGTCAAAATCAAGCAAACATATATAATTTCCATAAAACACATTTTTTTTTTAATTGAAGTAATGTCTAAAATCAGCAATTATGCAGATAAGAGTTAAAATCAAATACAGCTATCCATGTAATTCATGTTTACACTATTTTCTATTCAAAACATGTTTCACCAATCTTGGCTTCTTCAGATTACAGGAAAATTACAAAAGGATACCACTAGAAATACAAATGTACAAAGTTGTCAATTCAAGCATACATAAATATAATACACTGATTGACATAGAGCAATTTAAAAATTTGAGATTGGATACACACATAAACATATATACAAAATTTATATAACAAATTAAATCAATCCCCTGGAAGGTCACTTACTGGAGAAAATGACCCATAAGGTTGATTCCCTTTAATCTAGAACAGTATTCTTCATGCATGAATGGACAGAACCCCAAACACAAAGTTGTAATGGTAACCACAAAATATGAAACTGACACCCTCAATTTCATCTAGAAAAAAATCCAAATTATAAAAAAATATAAAAAATGTTTGTAGGAATTTTGGATCTAGAAGACTATAGATTCAAATTGTTTCAAAGATTGACATATGTCCGTTAGTGACGATCCGAGCCATGGTGGTTCCGAGCCCACAGCAGTCCTTTCTTTTGAACATTCAGCACGTGGAATGCCTGATCTTGGATAATGGACGCATAACCTGTCGTGAAATTGCAAGAGACTAATCTTTCTGTGGGAATGGTGAACACAATCATTCACAAACATTTGCATTTATCGAAAAGTTACTGCATGCTGGGTACCAAGACAGCTTTCTGCTTTTGACTAGCACAGAAGGGTTGCAGTCTGTATTACGGCCTGGTTTGATCACTAAGGGTGTCCCGTTTCTCTAGGACAATGCACAAACTCACGCTGCTCACCACGCTACGTGCACATTACAGAAATTTGGCTGGGAGGTATTGCCACATCCCCCTTTAGGCCCAGACCTCGCTCGGAGTGATTTCCACCTGTTAGGACCCCTAAAGAGTTCCTCGGAGGTCAGTATTTCAGCAATGATGATGAAGTGAAGCAGGCTGTCCTAGGATGATTCAGGCATACTGACACATCTTTCTATGCTAAAGTTTTACAAGCATTAGTTAAATGCTGGGATAAGTGTATAAATGTAGCAGGGGAGTATGTTGAAAAAAAAATGCAGTTTCCGCTTCTTGAATTTTTTTTTATCTTTAATAATTATTATTATTATATTAACTCAAATGTCCCAGTTTGACTTGAATGCCCCTCGTAATTAAGAGTCCATTTTCATACAGTCTTCAATTTGTTTTGGGTCTTCCTTTTTTTTTGTCTAGTTTTATGAAATGGCCACTAAAAAAAGAATTGGGAGCAAAATAAAAACTAAATGAAGCCTTAAGTTTCTGTGAAACTTCTTTAGTTTTTTTGTGCCAGAGTAAAAAAAATGTCCGTGTGCACATGTTGAAAGGTAGGTTCTCTGTATATTTTCTTTATACTTGTTAAAGGACTGCACCATAATGGAGATGAACACCTGTCTACTAGAGGTCTGAACAGACATTCTCGCAGGGCCCTCAAAACTGGGAGCAAGAACCTTTTTGTGTTCTGCTTTCATTGTGTAACTGAGGTTCTCTGTGTTAATGCCCATATACAAGATAAGAAGCTTGTACAAAAGTTTTCATACCTGGACTGATCGTCCTATAATCTGAGCGCTACTACACAGCTTTCAAGAGCCGATCATGACAATTCATGCAGCCATATCCGAAGGGATAAGTGCGAAAACTATCTTGTACGATACCAGATCATATGATTTTCATTTAATCAGTACAGTAGTTGTCCACAAATACAATACATTACTTAATTTCGAAATTTTTTTCTTTCATATGAGAAGTTTATTATCCTTTTCGTTTTCAATATGGAGACTAGCATGCAAAAAAAAGAATCTTATGTACGGGGCATTAGGCAGTTTCAAAAGTGACAGCTGCTGCAAGGAAGAAGAATCACCATAGAATAATACATGTTACACCCTAAATTTGAGTGTAACCTGTTGCTAAAGCTGGAGTTGGCCTTTTAAATTACAGCAATGGCTTCTTCCAACTTTAATACTGGTAAAATAATTTTTATAATACATAGTTTAAAATCTAAGAAAAATGCTAAACATGTAGATGTTGAATGAACAGCAAACCTTCCACCTCAGGCTTATTATATCATACTGTATTTACAATATTTGAACAAAAATGTCCAAACACAGTCCTAGTCTATGGCACTGTGATGGGCATTGGGCAGTCTCAAAGTGTTTTGGGAACCAGCAGTTCTCTTCAGGAGAATGTAAGTTGTTATATAATATTATATTGAAAACATTAGATCTGCCTGTGCGTTCAACCCATCTTGATTGCCCAGATGATGGTGGGGGGGGGGGGGGGGCAGGATAAAATCAAGAGAGCATTCCCCCATGTTGTAAATCTCAATGGGTTGTTGTACCACCTAACTTTCTTTAGGGGGCTTTCATGCATAAGAATACTTACTGTCTTGAGCACATGATCCCTCTTGTAAATAAGGGAGCTGAGAAATCCAAAAACTGGTAGTATGGAATAGAGGAATAGACAATGGGCTTTTATATAATCAATGAGATTCACTCAGGCTCCATTCACACTAGGGCATTTCAAATCACAGATGGAATTGCCGCGATTCTGGCCATTATTTGAAAGCGTACTGTAAAAATGTGAAAACTCGCTTTCTCATGTTTTAGATGCCATTCCTTTCAATTGCAATTGTGGCACGTTTGTGATTTGCGGTGATTCCGCCTGTGATTTGAAATGCGTTAGTGTGAGATATATCTGCGAACCAGGCAATTACCAGGAACCCCTATGTGATCCACAGAGAGTTGTAGAGTGTCATTATTACAATCCAGTCATATCAGGTGGAGTAGATACAAAAGCTTCCAAGGCAGGTTGTCCGATTTAATGCCAATGCCTTCAATTGCCCCCTCACCTCCGATGAATGGAAAATGCCCTACATGGTAATCGCATCATAATTTTTGTCTTTTGTTCAAAGTGCTTCAGTCTCAGTAATAAGGTCTCTAGCTAATGCAGCCAGTTTCTCCCTTGTCAGTAGCACAAGAGACATTACTTTAATATAAATCCAATGTGACCCTTGTGCCACTGGCTCCTGCATTAGTTTAAATCTTCGTCCTCTGATCTCCCTTCCTACTCCTACAAACACAATCTTCTAATGTGGGTAGGGTTAATATAGCCGAGGGACCTGTCATATGCACTCATAAAAAGTGCCAACTATGCCTACCCATTCCACCCACCTCGTATATTTGTAGAAGCTGTGATCATTGAATGGAGGACGGGCAGAAGAATGAAAGGTCCATCTCCTCCATTCGTAGATTATGGATCATTCATTGAAACTATAGGACAGCTTCTATGAAAGGAAGAGGTAGGTGAAAAGGTTGAGCATATTTGACACTCTCTTGGTGGGGTGTGTGTGTATGACAGGTCCCTTGATTCTTTTTTTTTTTTTTGATTAAACTTTACCTATCTTACATTAGAAGCTCTCTCATTGTAAGTAAAGAAAGTGGATGTGTTTAGGATATACTGTATTTATTGCTTTCACTAACTCCTTATTTTAAAGGAAACCTGTAATAAAATAGAAGTAGGCTGCTTTTGGCCTTTTCTAAAAATGCTACTTCCTTGGCAGTTATATTGACCTTGTGGCTTCATTACTTTGAGCCACAAATGTTCAGATTGGAAATTGTAACATTGCTCCTAAGTCACTGGCCAAATGCTTTCTCTGGGCCAGTGACTAAAAATACTAAATCCAGAAGCAGCCAGGGAAATGCCATTTTTCAAAGGAGATCAATAATTGCAGAGCCCATAGTTCTCTTAGGACAGGTTTTTTAAAAACAAATGTTTAGTCTTTTTTTCTTCAAGTGATAATGGTTTACAGTTTAAAAACTGGTTCAGATTATGATAACTGGTGCATGACTATTTAGTGTTATATGCACATTTTTTAAATACAGTATATTATATAGAAAATATATCATTTGGTTTTCACGTCTCTTTAATTTTCCTTTTTTCTTTCTCTCTGCAGCCCATTTTATGGTGAAGACTTCTATTTTGAAATTCCAAGAGCATTCCAAAATTTATCCTTTTATATCTATGATAAAAATGTTTTACAGCGAGATCTCAGAATAGGTGAGCAGTCAGTGGCAAATGTCTGTCTTCTCAAATGTAATTGCTGTTCAGAGAGCACAGTTGTTTCACAGGACTTTCACAACAGGAGGACACAGAATTGCCTACACCTGTCCTGAAGTGTTCCACAAACTTGGCTTTTTTTTTTATTGTATAAATACAATGTCCTGACGACCTTGGGATGGGATTTCATCTATGCAAACTAATGTGAATTTCACAAAGTGCCCTTACCCTTCCTGTGTATTTTGTCTCTAAAGCATGTAACTCTTAACAACCTATCTCTACCTATCCCTTCAACATTGAAAGTGAATATTAATATTACAGTTGGGTCCATATATATCTGGACACAGTCACAATATTAGTTTTTTTCAGGCATTTGCCAAAACATATTCAAGCTATTAAATATGCTCTTATATAAGCTCTAAAGAAATTACAGCTCTTAAGAGTACCCCCTTTTTCAAGAGACCAAAAGTAATTGGGCAGTTGAATATGATCATAAATAAAATGTTGATTTTTAATATTTTGTTGAGAATCCTTTACTGGCAATGACTGCCTGAAGTCTGGAACCCATGGACATTACCAAAGACTGGGTTTCCTCCTTTCTGATGCTTTCCCAGGCTCTAACTGCAGCTGTCTTCATTTGTTCTTTGTTTGTAGGTCTTTCTGTCTTCATTTTGCCTTCAGCAAGTGAAATGCATGCTCAATTGGGTTGAGATCGGGCAATTGACTCGGCTATTGCAGAATATTCCACTTCTTTTCCTTCAAAAGCTCCTGGGTTGCTTTTGCAGTGTGTTTTTGGATCATTGTCCATCTGTACTGTGAAGCGCTGTCCAATCAACTTTGCATTTGGCTGAATCTGGGCTGACAGTATATCTCTCAACACTGGAGAATTCATCCGGCTGGCTGCTTCTGTCTTCTGTCACATCATCAATACACACCACTGACCCAGTGCCACTGGAAGCCATGCATGTCTATGCCATCACACTGCCTTCACAGTTTTACAGTTGACGTTGTGTGCTTTGGATCATGAGCTGTTCCAAGCCTTCTCCACACTTTTTTCTTCCCGTCATTCTGGTATAGATTAATCTTAGTTTCATGCATCCAAAGAATGCTTTTCCGGAACTGGTACGGCTTTTTTAGATGTTTTTTGGCAAAGTCTAATCTGGTTTTCTATTCCTCAGGCTTATGAATGGTTTGCACCTTGTGGTGAACCCTCTGTATTTGCTCTTGTGAAGTCTACTCTTGATTGTAGACTTTGACAATGATACGCCCACCTCCAGGAGGGTGTCCTTCACTGTCACTTCCTGTCTGGATTTTGTGAATGGGTTTTTCTTTACCATAGAGAGGATCCTGTGATCATCCACCACTGTTGTCTTCCATGGATGTCCATGCCTTTTTATGTTGCTAAGCTTACCAGTGCGTTCTTCTTTCCTCAGAATGTACCAAACTGTTGATTTGGCCACTCCTAATGTTGCTGCTATCTCTCTAATGGATTTGTTTAGTTTTTTGAAGCCTTACAATGGTCTGTTTCACTTGCATAGACAACTCCTTTGAATTCATGATGTAGGTTCACAGTAATATATGCCAAATGCAAATAACACACTTAGAATCAACTCCAGACCTTTTATCTGCTTAATTGAATGAAGAAATAATGAAGTAGCATCCCACACCTGGCCATGAAACAGCTTTTGATTCAATTGTCCAACTACTTTTGGTCCCTTGAAAAAGGGGGGGTGGCTACTCTTAAGAGCTGTAATTCCTAAACCCTTCTTCCAATTTGGAAGTACATCCCCTCAAATTAAACCTGAGAGTGTGCACTTTCAGCCCATATCCATTATATAACTATAGCATGAATATGTTGGAAAAAAAAATTTAAATTGTGCCGGTGTCCAAATATATATGGACCTAACTGTGTGTGAGTACGTTTTGTGTGTGTGTGTGTGTGTGTGTGTGTATGTGTGTGTATGTATATATATATATATATATATATATATATATATATATATATATATATATATATTATTTTTTAATATACTTAGATATTCGTTACCTCTCACATAGACCAATGTTCTTCCCTAAGCTATAGTTTGATATAGGCATCTACTATCTGGCCAGAGATGCCGACTCATAGATGACACAAGCATAGAAATCTTGGTACCTGTGTAGTTCTTGGCTGTTCTTGGTGTTTACAAATGTCTCATGGAGATCACCCCCTTTTGCAACCTCTTGCCTTTTATGATAATTATGTCTGAGTTACCAATGAGAGGAGAAGAGAGGATATACTTCCAGAGTAGTAATTGTCTAAACCTAGGCAACAGTCACTTGAATTGAGCTCAAGGTATGCATTTTAGTGAGGAAAAAAAGGTCCTTTTTTTTTTTTTTTTTTTTTTTTTTTTTTGTCACTGTTCCCTTAAATTGTGACCTATCAGGTATTCATTCCTACAGACTAGTGAAGTTACTGAAATGTCCACTGTAACCTAACTTATTCTTTACCCTTACACCATATTTTGCTGAACATTAACCATAAACGTATTCCTAGGGCTAATTCACCTGTTCCTGTCTCTTAACCGTAAGCTAATCTAGTTTACTGTGTGTTTTGAAAGTAATAGGGCTCAGTATTAGCCAATCCTATGCCAGAAAAATAACTGGGCTCAAATGGCGGCACTTAAAACTCATGATCCACATGGGATTCCAACGTCATTTCCACATTTTGTTACAGAATTCATGTAGTTTGCCTTACAAGTCCTAAAACTGAAACTTTTATGCACATTTATGAAACCTGTCTCAATTGCAAAAAAAAAAAAACCCCAAAACAGATACAGACTGCACTCTAGTCACCATGCCTGCTTTTCGCATGTCTGTGTTAATGAGGAAGAAGAAGGGATTTGCGGGTTAAAGCTTTATCCTCTGTGACAGACCTGTGCGGTGACTTTGTGGTGCAGACTTTAAAATCCTTTTCCCGTCAGCAGACTAGGTAGCAGCTGCAAGGAAATTGAATACTCTATTTCTATGACAGATCAGATTTCGTATTGATTTTCACACGTAGGGTAATTTTGGATAGGAGTTCAAACGGCAACACAAGAACTTTTGTGAACAAAAAAAACTTTATTAGATTTTTGCCCTGGGTTAAGTGTTTAAGCATTACCTTGTCAAAATCTCCTGAATTTGTATCTCATAGGTGTGCTTGTCTGAGTCCATAACAGACACCCCAGCACCCCAGCCTGTGGCAACAGTTTGATGAACACCTTTGTGATGAACTGGAATGTCATATGCAAAGCCAGGTGGTCTTAGTCAACATCAGTACCTGTAAAAGAGTAGAAAGTTACCAGCTCTCCAACTTTACTCTTGCATAGGAACACCATGTCAGGCAAATAAGACCAAGGTTTCAGGGCCTTGCAGGGTCCCATCCTTATTGTGACATAGTGACCTTACACAGTACATGCTTAACAGACAAACATATGTACCACTGTCAGCAGTACTGTGACGATATATCATCGAACAGAGAATACAATAGATCAAATCTGTTATGGAACAAGAAAAGACAAAAGGCGGGTAAATCGAGGAGGGGGAGGAATAAAAAAAAAAAGATAAATTGTAGACCATAAATGAAAATTACATAGACATGGAAATGCATGATAAGTGATAACACAATAGAATATGAATGCAATATTATATGTTATAGTACAGAAAAAAACAAATCTGCAGTTCTGGGGAAAAATGTGTGAGTGGTCAAAGCAGTGGGTATGGTTTAAGAATGTATGTTGTCCCTATGTCTCTTTAACCACAAGCCTACAGGGCACTTATATCCCCTTCCTGCCCAGGCCAATTTCCACCTTTCAGTGATGTTGCACTTTGAATGACAATTGCGTGGTCATGCAACACTGTACTGATATGACATTTTTATAATTTATTTGTGACAGAGCTTTATTTTGGTGGTATTTAATCAAACTCTGGGTTTTTTATTTTTTCTTAAACAAAAAAACCACTGAAAATTTTGGAAAAAAAAGTTTTTTTTCTTAGTTTTTGTTATAAAAATTTTGTAAATAAGTGATTTTTCTCCTTCACTGATGTGTGCTAATGAGGCTGTAGTGATGGGCATTGATAGGCTGCACTGATAGGTAGCACTGATGAGGAGGCACTGGTAGGTGGCACTGATGGGCATTGACAGGCATCACTGATGGGCACTGAAAGGCAGCACTGATATATGGCACTGGTAGGCGGCACTGACTGGCACTGGTAGGCGGCACTGACTGGCACTGATTGGCAGCACTGATAGGTGGCACTGATTGGCAGCTCAGATGGGCACTGATATGTGGCATTGATGTGCACTGGTAGACACTGATATGTGGCATTGATGTGGCACAGATGGGCACTGGCACATGGTGCATTGCACTGCACTGAGACACTGACAGTGGCACTGACAGCTGATGGACACAGCGCACCGCCGATCTCCCCCCCCCGGGAGCCGCATGCGCAGTTAGAATGGGAAGACGTCATATGACGTCTTCCCAGAATGAGAGAACCACCTTGCGGCCGTCATATTACTATATGGCGGGCGGGAGGTGGTTAAGGGACCCCAAAACGTTGGCTATGATTGTTGTGACATTCCATGATTAAACCTCGAAGAGTATCATTGGAGTGCTGATCACTTTCTGCTATTTTTATTGGTTTTTGCGCAGGTACACTTGTTAAGCACTGCAAGGAGTGCAGCTCATACCCATGCTGTTAACATCACTACCTGGTGTCAGAAATGTTCTTGTGGCTGATTGGGCAAAAATACAGACAGAAATGCTTTAAAATATTAACATAAGAATCGGTGCAATTCCATATCAATGCCCATGGTTTTTGAATGGAATGTCAGCCATCTCATATAGATATGGTGGTATATTGCCATATTCACTAAATTCATTTTAATGAAAATCGTTTTTTTTAAAGTGGTGTTTCAGCCTAGTATAATAGTTCAGTAAACTGGGTTGTGATGTTTTCTTTCTGTTCCTTGATGGTTTACAGATTTTGTTTTTCTCTACAGGTAAGGTTGCCATTAAAAAAGATGACTTGTTTAGATACAGCGGTAAAGAGCCCTGGTTTCCACTTCAGCCAATTGATTCCAACTCAGAAGTCCAGGTAATTCTCCTCTTCATCCACCATGGGAGAGTATTCTTAGATGTAATATGTATGCCCTGTCCTGCCATAAAGTTTCCCCTGCTGCTGGCAATTTTGAAATCCAGATATCATCAAGGAACATTGTACCAAGCTTGTGCCAGAGATGGCCGTTAACAATTGCTCCTTCAGTTATAGGTTATTTATGGAACTATTTTAAAATGTCCATATTTTTTTTTTTCTTTAACACCAAGAATTATTATACTGTTATATTGTTACTCATATTGTTATTTATATTGTTACTCATAAACTGGTCAACTATTTTATTTTTTTTTAACCTATACTATAAATAGTTCTGTCTATTGTAAATGTTTTTTTTTTTTTTTTTTGCTTTATAGTCCGTTTCTGAACAAACAACCAGCTGAATAGAATTAAATCTGCAAGGGGCCATGTCTTTGCTGCACCTGATGCCCTACTGCATTTTGGGGGTTAAAGTGGAACCTACAAGATTCCTTAACTTTTAATGCAACTTACATTATTTTCTACCTGACACTGAACTGTAGTTACAGTGTTAAGTCACGTCTACCAAAGCTGTGGGGATTTTGTAACCACTTGACCTCTGGAAGATTTACCCCCACCACTTCATGACCAGGCCGTTTTTTGCAAAACGGCGCTGTTACTTTAACTGCAGGTTGTGCGGTCATACAATGATATACATAAATTAAATTTGTCATTTTGCTTCCCGATAAACAGAGCTTTCTTTCACTGGTGTTTGCCACTTATGCATTTTTTTTTTTTTTTTTGCGCTATAAACGAAAACATCCAACATTAAAAAAATATAATTACTGTGTGTGTTTGTATGTATGTATGTGTATATATATATATGTGTGTGTATGTATGTGTATGTGTGTGTGTATGTATATATATATATATATATATATATATATATATATATATATATATATATAAATTAAAACATAATTTTACTTTCTGCTATAAAACCTATCCAATAAAAAAAATTTAAAAAATCTAATTGTATGCTTCTACATATTTGTGTTAAAAAAATAAAAATCCTGATTAAGCATATATTGATTGGTTTCTGTAAAAGTTATAGGTTCTACAAATGGCAGTGTATATGCTGGATTTTTTTTTTTCTTAATACTAGTAATGGCAGCGATTAGGGACTTATAGTGTGACTGAGATATTGCAGCAGACAGTCTTACACTGACGCTTTGTGGGAACCAGTGACACTAATACAGTGATCAGTGCTAAAAATATACACTGTACTAATGACACTGGTTCAGTAGGGTTTTAAACATCTTGATTCTAGAGCGATTGAGCAAGGGTTGATTTTGTGCCTAACAAGTGTTTTTGTGTGTACATTGTGCTGTTTTTACTAGGCAATCTGCTAGATTTTATTCCCTGAATAAAATCTAGCGACCGCTGCTGACATAACAGCTCTGCCTTGTTTGGCAGTCTCCCTGGCGATTTAACAGGTTTCGGTGCTCATCCATTGGCTGGCACCAGTTGATCAGCTTATGCTGTGTCCAGTGACAGCAGAAGCAGTGCTCTGGCAGCAGGCGTGCACCCCCAGTGGCGGAAATGAAATATCACATTTATATATGTGATTTTGAACAGAACATCTGCCCTGTAGCAGTAAATCTGCTACAGGGCGGACGAAAAGTAGTCATAATTTTTGCATTTAAAAAAAATAAAGAAATATTATTGAAAAGATACATAATAACAAGGCTTTTGTGTTAAACACCTCCCAGTCAAATGTAGTCAAGCAAAGATTCAAGTAATCAGCAATTCCAGGGGAAAGCGAATAAGAACAGTAGTTACTTTAGGTAAAGATAGCGGTAACAACTCCATAAGTGCAATAGCACAAATAGCTCCTGCTGATTTTATGAATGTGATGGTGATTTCAAGACTTGCCAGTTAGAGCTTCTAAAAAAGATGTAGTCCTAAAGTGACATTGTTTACAGTAAGACAGTTACCTTTGATACCGTTCTTAGAACACATGCAAAAGCCCATATTAAGTTTACATTAACCACCAGTAAGTTGAGTTTAGGAAGAGGGAATCTGGAAAAAAGAAACAAAGGGAGGAGAACATAGAAAATAAGGAGAACATAAGTGAAGAAAAGGGGAGAAACATATGGAAAAGGCAACAGGAAGAGATGAGGAAAGAAAGGACGACTTCTGCAAGGTAATGTATGTGGAGACCTCAGAATGGGTACATGGATCCCTATCTTGTTTGTGTATTGTTTAGTTGATCTGTAAGAGCGTCCATAAGCTTGTTCTCTAGTATATGTGCTTGCAGTTCAAGAGTAGATGGTCCTTGTACCTGTCACCAACGAAAATCTATGAAGCATCTTGTGGCTGACACATGCATGGGCAAACTTTTAGCATCCTTGGGAATATTTGATGGTAAAAGACCTAGCAGGAATATGGCCGGGTCAATTTCAACGTGTATTTGTTAGTGTATATATAATGGCTTTTACTTCTAACCAAAAGGTGTGTCTCTCTGGGCATGACCAGTAGATATGAAACCGTGTTCCTATGTGTCGCCAACATCTCCTGTATTGGTCAGGGATATTGAGATTGAAGGAATGTAAGAGGGCAGGAGTATAGTACCAATTGTAGAGAATTTTGAATTGATTCTTCTTTTAGGTTATACAAATAGAAGATTTATGGACATTGTCCCACATTTTACCCCACTCTTCAGGAATTAATTCTCTATTTAAAACCTGTTCCAATTTTAACAAATGTCTGAAAAATGTGTTGAGACTAGGGGTTATTAGAATTTTCTGTTTGACAGAAACCAAACCTCTGCAAGTTGCGCCCATAATGCAAAGTTTTACAAAGAAGGTAATAGGTTAGAAGAATTAGGTTGTGCTGGCCACCAACTGTTGTTGTTTTTTAAATGTTATACTTACCTGCTTTGTGCAAGGGTTTTGCATAGACCTGCCCCAAACCACCACTTCTGCATTTCTCTGGTGGTGTTCTTTGCTCCTTCTCTTCTCCGTGTGTCACCATAGGAAGCCACTTCCTGTGGTAGAACACATGTGAGCTCGCTCCTGAGCCAGACTTTGTGCATCTATGTAAAAATGTAAAGGTGAACTAATACCCCTCCCCCCCCCCCTCCCCATAGTTCCCAGCTGTCAGCACCCACGCATACTGTTCAGAAGTCCTGGGGTTTGAATTCCCAGATTCATTTGTATCATGTTTTTTCTGGATTTTTGATTAATATTCGTTCTCTATCATTTAAAATACACCTTATGATAAAAATGACAGACTCTTCATTTCTTTGTAAGTGGGCAAACTTACAAAATCTGCAGGGGATCAAATAATTATTTTCCACACTGTAGAAGCAATTTACTTTTATACAGTGGAAACGTATATTTTATAAATGAGAGGTAGTAATCGTTTCAGCTGGGTTTGCCTGTGTAAGTAATGCAGTTCCTCAGCCACTCCCAGAATCTAATTATTTGGTCCTCAGGACTGGTTAGTGCTGAAAATCCAGCAGCTATACATACTATCTTTTTCCAGACGAAATGATGAACTGCTCAGGTTAGGTTTACTTGGAAAGCTGTGGAGGAAATTCAATTCTGGAGGTACTACACGGTGGTGGTCCTAAGAAGTGAATCAGGGTGATCCTTTGCCTATAGATTCTAAGGAACAACTTCCTTTTCAGCAAGACAAATGGTGAGAGGCCCAATAGTGACTTCACCAAATCTCACGTTAAATCGCATGAGAGACTAGCAGCTAGAGCAGGCATGCCATAGATCAGTGGTGGGCAACCTTTTTTTTCAACTGAGCCAAATCTCGCCAAAACCGCGATTGAAATTTATTTTGAGAGCCACATTTTTAAAACTGAAAATACATCCCCCATATAGTAATTCATCCCCCATATAGTAATTCATCCCCCATAGTAATTCATCCCCCATATAGTAATTCATCCCCCCTATAGTAATTCATTCCCCATATTGTGTCAATTCACTTATCTTTGCTCCGCGCGTTCCTCTCGCCATGTTCCCCACCGTTCCGGTCTTAGGGCGGACTGTGAGAGGAGAGGAGTTCGTCACGCTGCCCCGCCTACATCCTGACAGCCAATGTTTGCCACGCTCCGCGGGCCGGATTAAAAGGTCCGCCGGGCCGTAGTTTGCCCATTGCTGGGCTAGCTGCAGAGTCCTGACTTTTGGGGCAGCCGCCCGAGAGGAGGGAGGGGAGCGGGCGCCCGGCACACAGAAGAGCCGCATTAAAGTGTGCAAAGAGCCGCATGTGGCTCGCGAGCCGCGGCTTGCCGACCACTGCCATAGATGATCCCACACTGTATATATCTAGCTGTAAGGCTGTAAAGTCTTTTTTTTTTTTTTTTTTTTTTCAAATCGGTGGCATAATGTGCTAGTATGCACCATACTAGCAGATTATGATAGACTTACCTGTATAAGGGATCCCTTCAACGGCAAGATGTCACTGCTGACAAGGCTTCTATCTTCATCTGGTCATCCTTCGGGTTCATGGGCTATGGCCATTTAGCCATGCACGCGAGTCACGGGCACAGCACTCTTGATTGACGACACATTCAGTGTGCCCTCAACTTGAAGTGCAATGTGCACGCGCTAGTGATGTCACCAGCTGCAGAAATTTGGAATATCTCCTAAACGGTGCACGCTTAGAAGATATTTTTGTACCTACAGGTAATCTATATTATAAGCTTACCTGTAGGTACAATTGACCAAGCAGTGTTTACTACCACTTTAAATTGCACAACCACTTTAATAAACACATTTTTGTACATTTTATTTATTTACATAAACCATTTTGATATATTTTTGTATAGTGAAAAATGTCGTGAATAAATCTGGTATAGATATGAGTTATTCTGCTTTTTTTTCGGCACTCCCTGCTTCTTCCTTTCTCACCTCATCAATTTGCTAATGAAATTTACAAATAAAACCTGTTTTCATGACAAACCTTATTTTAGACTTGAATCCTGATTCTCTGTGCTTGCTATAGAGACAGATTGCAATTTCAGAGAAGATAACTGGTTGAAAAGGTCAGCAAGGATGCTGTACATAAACTGCTGAAAACATCACAAGAATCCTTAGCCCTCATGCAAACAGTTAGCTGGTTCTTGGGAGAGGCTGTGTAAAATAATTCCTTGATCAGTGCAGTAAGTCTGTAGACGTGGGCATTCTTAGGCAGGTTGCATTTGCATTTACAGTCCTAGAAAACCCCCACATGTAATTCTGAGCCCCCATGGTTGAAAGAACTGAAAATCAGTGAATGCAAGGGGCAAGCCAGGGACAGTCAGGCAGGGGAGGAAAGAAGTAGATGATACAAGACATCCTTGTTGTTCTGACTTGCTGCAGCTTCTAATGCATACTGGGAGAAGCTCAGAATGCAGTGAAATCAGAATTTCAGTGCGGGAAAGAACCCGGTACATCTGTCAAAGACTGGAGTTCATCTTTAAGGTTTAAAGCTTTATTTATATATTTTTTATTAAAATATTAGGTCTTTTTATACTTGCCTGCTCTGTGCAATGGCATTGCACAGAGCCGCCTCGAGTCCCTATCCTATTCTTCTGGGGTCCCCCACTGGTGCTCCTGCCTTTTCCTCTTCAGTGAGTGCCCATTAAAAAAACAGACAGTGCGGCTTGGTGCATGCTCCCTGCTTCCTCATCACAGGATTTGAATAACAGCAGCGGGAACAAATGGCTGTACTTTCAATTTACCAAGGAGGAGGGAGAGAACTGCTGCTTTCGTGCACAACACTGGATTGAGATTGGGATCAGGCAAGTATAAGAGGCAGCTGGGGGGATCCTGAAGCACAGAAGGCTTTTTTACCTTAATACATAGAATGCTTTAAGGTAAAAAACCTTACGGCTTTATAACCAATTTAGGTGCCTGGACAGCACTGAAAGCACTGCTATTCCGGTCCACAGACATAGCACTTAGAGCAATGGTTGTCAGCTTATGTGGTATAGGGGGCTCAACTGTGGCCTCATACACCACCAAAGGAATGGACATGATGTTCATAATGTAATAATAGAGAGGACAGCCAAAGACTGTATTTGTACTAGAAAAATGATAGTCACAGACTGCGAAGATATTACAGTTTAGGGACATGCTACGTGTGACTAGTAGAGAACACTGATTTACCCCTTTAAAAAAACATGCTACCAGCCCCACTACAGACTGCTGGGGTCCAAGGCCGCAGAATAAATACCAGAGAGATACTTGTGGCTTTCAGCTGCAGGTTGACAACCTGGAAATGTTGGGCTTTTTCTTAGGTGTGATATTTTTTAACACCTGAATGGTAGAGTCTTGAAACTCCACTTAGCTGTGACTGAAAATGTGTACTGCACTGTAGCAAAATTGCATTTACTAATGGGCATGAGTGTTTGATGTTTAGTATGCCAATACTTCCAAGTTGGAACCTTTTAAAGAGCTTCTGTACATCAATTTTGGCTTGCTGTAATGTATGTTACTTAAAGTAGTGTGACAATGAGTTGTGTTGTAATATTATCAATAAGGGCATTCTTTACAATTTATTTATTTTAATAGGGAAAAGTCCACCTGGAGCTGAAACTAAATGAACTGATTACAGACAATGGATCTGTGCAGCAGCTTATGGTACAGTAAGTATATCTGGGCCTGTGCAGTGAGTGGCATATTGAAAGTCTGTGTTGTGTTTCGTGGTCAGTATAACAAGCTCTGAAAGCCACCAGGACACTTCCTTTTTTCCGTAACTTGCACAGAGAGGAAGCGTAGGCGGCTGCATAGAGCGTTTGAATAAATACAAATGACTGTTAACCTCTTCTCATCTGCTAAGCATAAAAAGGCCATAAATTCACCAGGTGAAAACTTATTTGTTTCTTGTTAGCTATATGCAAAGAGCCCCCTTTACCATTGTAAATGATGCCAACTATATTTTTTTTATATTTCTCTTGCTGTTTACCAAAACAAAATCTCTGCTTAATAAGACTTGTTCATGTGCCATGTCTGTTGAGCTGTGTTTTATTTCTGTACGCCACCGTACATGTATTGTGTGGAGAGGGCACTTACACAATTGTTTACACCAGGGGTCTCCAAACTATGGCCCGCCAGCTGTTGAAGTACTACAAGTCCCATCATGTCTCTGCCTCTAGGGGTCTTTCCTGTGGCTTGGTGAGTCTTGCAAGGCCTCATGAGACTTGCAGTTTTTCAACACCTGGAGTGCCATAGTTTGGAGACCCCTGGTTTACACTGTACATGCATGGTGTTCTGAAAGAAAGGCAGCTCAATGGAAGTAGTGTGAACAAGCTCTTAGGAACCAGAGACTGCCTTCATTCTGCAGTATTATGCATCTCAAATGTTTACTTACACTTTTGGTCCCATACCTATTTATCCAAAGTATTTACCAAATAAACCTCTGAATACAGACATTTCTAATAGAACCAATTAGGGGAATTCATAAAGAGTTTCTACAACACTACACATATCTCAGTGCAGGCAACAGATTAATTTACCTGTTGGGGAAAGCACCACGTGTGGAGGTGCGCTGAGGCCTAAGTGTCTGCATGCCACTGCTCCTGGCACACAGAGAGTGTAGTAGCTGAGTTGATTTTTAGCTGGGTGGGAGGAGCCTGATGAAAATTCAGAGACACTATTTGCCCATCAGGTCCATTTTCCTTGTGATTTGCAGTGGGCAGACACACTGCCAATGGCTGTAGAATCTGCTGTGAATTACAAGGAGAGAGTGGACCTGATCACCATCAGGCTCCACCCACTGACAGTGTCATTGTTTTCAAGAAGCCTGTTTGCTGTGAAGCCAGTAATATTCTTGATAACCAGTGACAAGTGGGGAGGAGGTAGCATCGGCAACATGCCGCTCCGCTACTCTGTGTACAGAGACAGGCACTCTGCCTATTCGTGGCATACCAAATTAAAATTGGTCTAAATTATCTCCAGTTTTATGTATTTGGTGCAGGAATAGCACCCCTAAGCTAGCGCCTTTAAGAACTAACTGAATCTGCTGCAGGCTTCTATAAAGCTACCAAAACTGGAAGAATTAATTTTTTTTTTCTTGTAAAGGTGCCATACCCCAGAAAAGTGTCAATAGAGCTTTAGTATGGGGGTTGAAAATAACAAAACAAAACATTTTATAATCGCCTAGGTGGATGCTGCATGTGCACTGAGTGAAGTGAGGGGAAGTTTACCCAAAGGGATACAGATGGCAAAAAAAAAAAAAAAACAAAAAAAAAAAACACAGAGATTATAACTCTCCATTACTTATCCAAAATGAAAAAAAAAAAACCTAAATGTTACCTTTATTTAAACTTTAATGCAGGCATCTTTATCTAGGGCTCAAAAATTCCACAGAAAGGGATTAAAGAGAACATACTGGCATTATTGCAGGATGCTGTGGATAAGTTTTCTTCCCCAAACTTCCATAGAATTTAAGAGGGAGCCTCACGCAACATGTTTGCTAATGTGGAAGAGTTCACTGCTGTTGTCCTCAAAAGTCTTGTCATTGTCCAGATCAATTCTTTTCTGTCTCGCCATGCCCCTTTTGGTATGAATAGAAGCGCAAAATCTTTTCAGACATTCTCAGTTTGTGAAGTAGAATGTGCATTTCATGAAAATTGGATCACTCCAGAAAGGATTCTCACTCCTTCCAAAGTCTTTGCTGAACTCAATCCAGAGGAAAAAGCATTCAGTAAAAAGTTGTCTTTTCCTGTAGTTGATACTGCAGTCTTCGTCTTAAACATCTCACTGTACCTGTTGAAGATGTTCCTTCTTTCCAAGATTGAGATGCTCTTAAAGTAGTAGTAAAGCCACTTTGTTAATTTTTACCTACAGATAAGTTTATAATAAAGCTTACCTGTAGATAAAATGAAAATCTCGAGAGATGTTTTTTGGGTTTTTTTTTTTTTTTACAGCTGGCGCATGTGCTCTGAAGGAAGGGCATACCCGTGCTGTTCCTTCAGAGCACTCTGCCATGTCCCGAGACTCCCATGTGCATGCGCAGAAGTGACGTCATCGCAGCTCAGCCAGCCAGATGACTGGAGCTTGCGAACCCAGAAGGAAGACCGGGGGAGGATGGAAGCCTCTACAGCGGTGACAGTGCACTGCTGGAGGGCTTCCATTTTAAGGCAAGTTTTACACAATGTGCTAGTATGCGGTGCATAACAATGAAATATGCCTTTACCTTGCAGGGGATTTTTATTTATTTTTTTTTTTTTTACACGGTTTACTATCGCTTTAAAGCACTATTAAATCTCAAAGTAAACATTTATTATATTGAAGCTTACCAATTCTGATGTGGTTGCATTAGTTTTAATTTTTAGGCTTTCTTTCTTTTATTTTAACATGGTGATCTAGCTAGTTAGTCTGCTGTTTGTAATAGAACAAGCTGTCCTACAGATGTAGCAGTTAGAGGTTTTAGACAAACCGTTTAACACTGACAGGTGCCTACAATGATCAGCTTTTGTTTATGCAAAAACTTTATCCCAAAAGGAAATACAATTGTTTGCTGTAACTGCTTAAAAAGTGTTATCTTTATCTGGAATTTGGCCTCAATTTGTTAGTGCACCTAACATTCCCTTCCCCCCCAGACTGACAATGCTGCAGTTGAAAGATGTTTTATTCAGATCATCTGGTCAGATCACCAGGTGAAAACAGGCAAAAGCCTTAAAAAGAAAAAAAAAAAAAAAAAAAGCCTTAAAAAAAAAACTGATGCAACCACATCTAATGATTCGTAAACTGCAAAATATTACATTTTAGATTTAAAACACTATTTACAGTGAGGAACAGAATTATTTGAACAACCTGCAATTTTGCAAGTTCTCCCACTTAGAAATCATGGAGGGGTCTGAAATTGACATTGTAGGTGCATTCCCACTCTGAGAGACAGAATTAAAAAAAAAAAATAAAAAATTCAGACTAAAAATTAGACTAAACAGGCTGATCTGCTGTAATACTGACACTCAGTGGCTGAATATCTCCTTGCATGGGAACTCTGCCATACTGAAGTCTCTATTTGCTCAACCCAGCTCTGATGAAGAAGGGAGCACCCTTCGAAACGCGTTAGCCTTCATTCCCCCTCCCCCCTTTTGGATTTACCTGTAACCCTGCTTGGATTATGGTTACTTATGCCTGTTATACCATCACTTTGTGAGTAGATAACCTTGTTTTTTTTTCTAGCCTTGATGAAGAGGAAGATTTTTTACCCTTGAAATGCATTGGCTAAACTTCTTGGATTTTGATTTTTATTGAAATGAAGTTCTATATGGACCTTAGCAGTGCCATTGCACTTCATTTTCTATTCTTGCTATAACAGATGCCAGTCGTTCAGGCTGAGAAGGAGTGTTCCAGTCCCTCATTTTACAGGAATTCTGGTCACCTGTGGAAACCAAGCTCCCTATCCGCATCTTGGAGCTCAGAGTAATAAAGATAGCTCTGCAATATTTGACCCCCCTTCAGCCACCAATGGGGCACCAGGAGTCTTGCAACCCTGAAGGAAGCAAGTCAGATCATCTCCTGGATGGAAATTCACTGTCCAGCATTCTCTGCAGTCCACATACCAGGAGCTGACAACTGAAAACACCCTATCTCAGCTGTCATTGCCTGGATTAGGGGGAATGGGCCCTTTACCCAGACATATTCAGCCTGATTTGTCAGAAATGGGGGACTCCAGATGTAGACATCCTGGAATCCAGATTCAACAACAAACTACCTCAGTTTGTGGCCAAGACCAAGGATCCCCTAGTGCTGGCCTTGGAAGCCCTTGATAATAATTGCTTTGGGATGTCCCTGGGTCTATGAATATTGTTGCTTGTGTCATGCACTGTACAAGTAAGATAAAAGTAATTTTTACTTGCCTCTAAATTCCATATTTTGGAGCACTGTACAGGACACTGCCCACAGGCCACCCTCCCTTCCATTCCTTGGTTATTCTGCCTTGCCTGCTACAAAACTGCAGACTAAGAGTAGTGTAGGGTTATAGGGAGGTGCCCAGTGTATACCCTTGAAAGCTTGCTAGTGTCCAGTCGCCTGAAGTTATAAGTCTATAACCCAGGGTCTATGAATATTTTGCATGTGTTCTGTACCGCACTCCAAACTATAGAATTTACATGTAACTCCATTTTTTTTTAACCCTCTGTCAGAGTCCTAATATGATTAGGTTACCTTAGTCTTTTTGAAATGATGGCATTTGTTGTGCTAATTCTTTCCTAATTAATATATCAGAATGTTTAGAATGTGTTGTGTGTTAGAGCAACATGACCATAATAGAAAAGCATTGTCTGTGAGACCACAGAGGTAGTACAAATTTGGAACCAGCAAGAACAATAAAGATAGTCCAGTAAATTTCAAAAATATTTTTTATCGCCTACCCAGTTTTTGTTACACTCACATGGAAGATGGGAAATGGAGAAACCATCTCTTTTTGCATTTCTATGTTATACTTCAGAATTGTTCTCTTTTCACAGTGTATTGGCATGTGAGGGATTACCACTTGTGAATGGACAGAGCTGTGATGCGTATGCTGCTGTGTCTCTTGTTGGCCCATCTAGGTAAGTTATATACCTTGGTTACCAGTTAAAGCTTTTAAATAACAATTGTACTTGTTAAATGTTTATATTTCAGGTCAAGGATTTCCCTTAACAATCCGTGTTAGTAACATGTGCCATGGGATGGGTTGAATCTTTTCAACTAGGCAGCAGTAAAACCCTGATAATGTTCTTAGAAAGAATCAGGAAAATACTGCATTATGGCCTCTAGATGGAATTCTTAGACCTGTATGGTTATACTGCCACCTACAGGAGAAATTGACACTGGCAAGCACAGGATTATCCCACTAACAACCATCTTGCTTCAGTTTTTTGCTACTGTTACCACAAAAGTGGACTTGTCTTCTCTGCTGTTTGCTGTTGGTAGATTTTTTTTCTACTATAAAATAGCTGCTGGCAGATTCTTGCCAGATATGTTTTTAATCCTATAATTCTTTCCAATCAACCATTGAGCACAGTTTTTCCAAGTTTGTAATGGTGTTATTTCTCAGACAGTCCTGCAGACAGCAGTGACTACCTGTCTGGGGTCAGTTCGCACAGGACTCTGCAATTCAAGGTCAGGCCAGTATATCTGGGGATTCCCTATGGAATTATCGGTCCAGTCCTGAAGCAGTTTTCTTGACTTCGTCTCTGCAGCTCACTGTTGTGGGCTCTTAGCAGGCTTATGCTAGGTGTGGGGGCATCTGTTTTTTTTACTGAGGCTACTTGTTTGGTTTTTTGTACAGTATCCTCTGTAGTTATTTGGCCATTTGCGATAATATTGACTTTACTCTAGGCTGGCTTATGTACTTTGAAAATTGGCCACATGCATGAGGGAGCCCTCTCTTCTTCATTCCCCCCCCCCCCCCCCGCTTCGGGCCACTTAAGGGAAATGTTGCTGTCTTCCTGTATCACCCCTTCATACTCCCTGACTGTTGATGATGCAGCTTTAATTCAGGAGCACATGTGTGCATGCATGGTTCTATTTGGTGCCTAATTGAAGCATTTCAAATATCATGTGCAGCATTTCTCTGTGACCCCTTATGTGTTTTTGGTTTTTTTTTTTTTAAGTTGGTTCGGATACTGAGCCTTGTTACAGGTCTTCCCATTGCCTTTGGTATTGTGCAGCGCTGGCCAAAAATTTTGAGAATAAATATTAATTTTCACAAAGTCTATTGCTGCTGCAATTTGCATATGCTCCAGAATGCCATGAAGAGTGATTAGATGAATTGCAATTAATTGCAAAGTCCCTCTTTGCCATGAAAATGAACTTAATCCCAATAATTTCCGCTGCATTTCAGCCCTGCCACAAAAGGACCAGCTGACATCAGGTCAGTGATTCTCTCATTAACACAGGTGTCAGTGTTGGCGAGAACAAGGCTGGAGATCACTCTGTCATGCTTATTGAGTTGGAATAACAGAATGGAATCTTTAAAAGGAAGGTGGTGCTTGAAATCATTGTTCTTCCTCTGTTAACCATGGTTACATGCAAGTAAACACATGCAGTCATCATTGCTTTGCACAAAAAGGGATTCACAGGCATTGCTGCTACTAAGATTGCACGTAAATCAACCATTCATCAGATCATCAAGAACTTTAACAAGAGAGGTTCAGTTGTTGTGAAGAAGGCACCCAAGAAAGTCCGCAAGTTCCAGGGCCATCTCCTAAAATTGATTCAGCTGCAGGATGGGGGCACCACCAGTGCAGAGCTTGCTCAGGAATGGCAGCAGGCAGGTGTGAGTGCATCTTAAGTGTAGGTTAACACTTTTGGAGGATTGCCTGGTGTCAAGAGGGGCAGCAGAGAAGCCACTTCTCTCCAGTAAAAACATCAGGGACAGACTATTATTCTGCAAAAGGTACATCTGGAAAAAACCTTGCCCAGAGAAGAAAAGGTGAGCGGTACCTTCAGTCCTGTGTCATGCCAACAGTAAAGCATCCTGAGACCATTCATGTGTTGCTTCTCAGCCAAGGTAGTGGACTTACAATTTTGCCTAAGAACACAGCCATGAATAAAGTATGGTACAAAAACATCTCCTGAGAGCAACCTCTCCCAACCATCCAAGAACAGTTTGACAGAGCACCTTGCCATAAGGCAAAAGTCATAACGAAGTGTCTTGGGGAACAAAAATCTTAATTTTGGGTCCATGGCCAGTAAACTCCCCAGACCTTAATCCCATGGAAAACTTGTGATCGATCCTCAACAGGTGGGTGTACAAAAAAAGCCCCACAAATTGACAAACTCCAAGCATTGATTATGCATGAATGGGCTTCCATCAGTCAGGATGTGGCCCAGAAGATGATTGATAGTGTGCCAGGGCGAATTGCAGAGGACTTGAAAAAGAAGGGTCAACACTGCAAATTTTGACTCTTTGCATAAACTTCATGAATTTGTCAATAAAAGCCTTTGACACTTATGGAATACTTGTGATTCTACTTAAGTATACCATAATAACATCTGACAAAAAGCTCTAAAAACACTGAAGCAGCAGATGTTGGGAAAATTCATATTTGTGTCATTCTCAAAACATTTGGCCATGGCTGTAGCACGTCTAGGCAGTTGGTGGATTAGTTTGAGTGTTCATCCTTTGTTTTGTTTGGCCTTCACACTGTCTTTGGTGAGCAGAAGTGGAATTGCTCTGCATATGCAAGTGCACCACAGGGCTTAGTCCTATTTCGCTCTTGTGTGAAAGAGGTTCCTTATGGTGTGGTGCAGCTGTCTGGTGAGGACCTCCACATTACCATCCATTATTCCCTTTCTCTCTGTTAAGTCAAACACAGACATATTGGACTTCTCTATTCTGGGTCAGAATTTTTCTGCAGATCCGTTATTAGATATGAACTCCAAATCCTCTCTGCCAAAGGAATCCGTTAAGATCAATGGCCAATACTGAGAATATATTCTCCTTTTTGCAGTGTGATATTTACTTTTTACACTGGGGGAATTGAGGACTTGTGATTGTACCTGGAGTACAAGTAGACAGATGGCTGTAATTTACATTTTAGCTGTACTGGTTTGCTTAACCACTTGCCCTCCAGAGGATTTACCCCCCCTTCCTGACCAAGCCATTTTCTGCAATACGGCGCTGTTACTTTAACTGACAATTGCGCAGTCATGCAATGCTGTACATAAATTAAATGTAGGTCCTTTTTTTTCCCCACAAATGGAGCTGTCTTTTGGTGGTATTTGATCACCTTTTGCGGTTTTTATTTTTAGCACTATACACAATTAAAGACTGACAATTTTGGAAAAAAAAAAAACAATATTTTTGACTTGTTATAAAACTTATCCAATAAAAAAATTTTAAAAAAATCTAGTTTCTTCATAAATTTAGGCAAAAATGTATTCTGCTTCATATTGTTGCTATAAAAAAAAAAATCCCAATACGTGTAAATTAATTGGTTTACATGAAAGTTATAGCATCTACAAATGGTGGTATATATACTTGAATTTTAATTTTTTTTCCCCTACTAGTAATGGCGGTGATCAGCGACTTATAGCGGGACTGTGGCGGGCATTCAGACACTGGGTGCGAACTGACATCCACAGTGACACTAATACAGTGATCAGTGCTAATAAAAAGCACGGATACTGTATTAATGACACTGGGAAGGAAGGGGTTAACTTTTGGGCGATCAAAGGGTTAACTGTGTGTGCTGTTTTACTAGGGGGGCTTGCTGTTTTGTATCTCTGCTGTTCAGAGAGATCCAAAACAGCATGTCCAAGCTGACAGGGGAGAGTCTCTCTCCAGGCACTCTCCGGAACAATCCTTTAGGTCCCCACTCCGATGGATAGGTTCTTAAGATAAGGACAAGGAACTCCTCATAGTGTAGTAAGGCTTTACTGTCAGGCATTTTTTTATACATTTTTATGGTAATAAAACCTTACTACACTATGAGGAGTTCCTTATCTTTTGAGCACCTATCCATTGGAGTGGAGACGTAAAGGATTGTTCCTGAGAGTGCCTGGAGAGACCTGTGGAAGCAGAGGATCCAGTGGAATTTATATTGAGCACATGTTGACCTATATTTTCTATGGGCCAGCTGTGAGGTGAGCGTGCATGCCTGAAGGTGGAGGAGCACGATGGATTTGCACACCTGTTGAAGTCACTGGTGCATTACTTTAAATGTTGGAAGAAAGACTGTTATATCACTTTTGGGCTGCATTTTGCACTTTATTAAGTATTATCGATCATTCACCGTTTTATCTGTTTTTTGCATGTATTCAGTAGAGCTGCTTATCTTTTTTCTTTTTTTTTTTTTTTTTTTTTGTTAAACGCACTTTTTGTGAATATCTAGCCCAGTTGAACATTTACTTGATTCATCACATTTATTCCACTGGGGGGCTGATTGCTCAGCCGGGCTTTTGTTTTACAATCATTTAATACTATTTTTTGTTGATTTTCACACTTTATGCTTCTGGTCAGCTGGTGTTTATTACAGCTCGGCCACGTGTTTACTGCTATTGTGATCGTGCTTTATTTCTGATACATGTTTCACATATTTTACTGTTTTTGTTGTGTTTTGTTTGTTTTTTTTTTTTTTACACTTTTTTCATCAGCTCAGCCCAGTGTTTATTATAGGTTGGACAAGTGTTTATTGCTACTTGATTTTAGTTTATTTTTGATATGTTTCACATATTTGGATTCAGTGGCTCAGCCAGTTTTTTTTTTTTTTTTTTTATTTATTTGCTATTTGTTTCACAGATTTATTCTATTACACATTGGGTTTGATGCTCAGGAGGGTGTTTATTATTAGTGTATTTGTTTGGTCACTGGGGGGCAGGGCGTCCCTATTCTTGGGGAGTTTTAATTATGTGGAAACACATTTTAGGTGCTTAGCAGCTTATCATTTATTTGTGGTAGAGCATGAGTATATCATTATTTTTGTTCACCCTCTTTGGTTTCACACCTCCATCCTGATGTTGCCCAAAGATTATCAGATTTCCATCAAGCTGTCTCAGGGCTTCTGGATCAAGGTGTTATTGCCCAAGTTCCTGTAGTGGAATGGTTTTCGGGATTTTCCTCCCAACCTTCATAATTCCCATATACAAAGGGGGCATTTGCCCCATCTTAGATCTTGATTCTGAATGTCATTTAAATCCAAAACCTCCGCATGGAATCCACAATTACTGTCATAACCTCCCTTCAACAGGGAGACATCTCACAAGAATGTGTACTGACACTTGTCCATTATATCAAGCACATCTGTTTTCTACATATTGCTGTGGGTTCCCTACACTGCCAGTTCATGGCCCTACCCTACAGCCTCTCGTCTGCACCTTGGGTGTTCACCCAAGTATCATTGCTAATGTTAGTTATCCTGGCAATTCCATTGTACTATACTTAAACAACCTACTGAGGGAACAGTCAGAGCTTGCTTCTTTTGGACAGTGTGTCCTTGATTATTCAGAAGTTACAGTGGTTTGGATTAATTCTGAACCATCTCATTGGTCTCAGAATCAAGCTTTCCAGTCCAGGGGTCACCTGGCTCTCCCCTTTTGAATGAGAGGGTCTTTAATATGATGGTAGCCTCCTTTGAGAAAGTTAGTTAGTTTCACTCCAGACCTCTGCAGCACAACATTCTGTTGTCATGGACCAAGTTAGTCAGGTGCTTGGACAAATCAATTAATTTGCCCTGAAGAACAGGGTGTCTCTGGCCTTGCAGTTTGGGAAGTCTGCTCTGGAATTGGGGAAGTCTTTAGTCCCATATCTTGGAAGATCTTGATGGCAGATGCCAAACTATTTTTGCTGGGGAAGAGTTCACCAAAAAGCAATATTCCTTCCAATGCGTGGACCTAGTTCATGGTTGTGAGAGTCTATCTCTCAGCCTCTGCTTTTTCAGGAAGTCTGTCTTTTGATGGACCTGTAAAGGGTACTCTGGTTTTTGGTCCATCATCGTTAGGTGATTCAGGTGTACCCTCATCCAAATATTGTTCTAAGGATTCAAGGCGCACTTTACTAGAGTGCTTCTTCCTCTTTTTGTCAATCATGCAGCATTTTCCAGTTTGCAAGGCTACCACCTGGTGCTTTTCTTTTCATTTTCTTTTCATTTTCTATGTTCTACTAAGAAAATATGTAGGCCTCATTTAACCACTTCCCGTCCGGTCCATGTATGTATGTAAATGGTCCTCCCCGCCTGCGCGCTCTCCCCTGGAGCCTGCGGAACCGCGATCCGATCGCTGTATGGGACTCTCTGTGTGAGGTCTCAATCATGTGATCTCTGATTGGCCAATCAGTGATCACATAAATAGTAGTAAGCAAGATGTCACTTCTAACATCATTGCTTACTGCGTGTGAAATCTGTGAATGATCACAGAGGTCACATGGTACAAGGCTATTAACAGCCTTGTACCATGTGAAATCTGTGAATGATCACAGAGGTCACATGGTACAAGGCTATTAACAGCCTTGTACCATGTGAAATCTGTGAATGATCACAGCTCTCACAGTATTTCTCAATGCCTGCAAGAATGCAGCCAGAGAGGAGGAGAAAGTACTGCATTTACAGCCTTTTATGGATGTGAAAGCAATCAGTGTAAAAAAAAAAAAAAAAAAAATTCATCACTATGGTGACACTGTACTGCTAGGGTGACAGTATGTTAAAAAAAAAACCCAAAAAAAATAAAAATGTAAAAAAATTTTTTGAAGAATTATAATTTTTGGTTATAAACTAATAATAAAAGTGTGACATCGCTGAAAGCTGAAAATTGGCCTGGACAGGAAGGGGGTGAAAGTGTCCGGACTTGAAGTGGTTAATGCCCACTTTGGGTGTTGGGTCCATCATGCAGTCCCCAGTTTTCTGCGTTTTTTTTTTTTTTTTTTCTACCGGTTTTTTAGCCTTTGATGCTATGTTGTCAACCCTTCTGTTTGTCAGGATGTCCAAGAGCAGTCAGTCAATCTATATGAATTCCTGTGTCCCTTAACAAACGAAATAGAAAATATGATTTATGCACTCACCATAAAATCCTTTGTATTGAAGTCTATTGAGAAGCTTAAAAAAAAAACCTCATGGTTATGGGCTGAGTTAACCTGCACTGGCCAATGACCTTTTTGTGTCCTTCTCTCCTGTAAGTGGCAGCATAACCCGACAGTTTAAAAATGTGTCTCCTTCAGTGGACGCCCTAGAAAAGGATAGCAGAAAACACTTAAAAGTGTTACTAAACCCAGGACCCTGCATTCACTATCTGGTCTCCCACAGTACACACTACATGGAAATGCAATTAGTTTAATAAATATAAACTGCTAAATACCTTTTCTCACCAGCAGTTAGAGCAGTCTTGTGACTTCTATCAGTGGTCAGCCAAGCACTAGCTAAAGCTTGTAGGAGGAGTTTTGTTTCTGGTCTAGGAGGATGCACAACCCCTGGCCTCTGTCTGGACAGTTCTGATTGGCCCAGTGCTGATCACATGCACTCTCCCAAGAAAAAAAAAAGCTCTAGCAATACACACCAAACTGAGCATGTGCAGAGTGTCTCCACATATATTTCTTATCAGGAGATAAGAGGGGGACACTAGAAGGGAAGGATCAGAGAAGTCAAGATCATTCAGGCTTTTTAAACAATGCAGATGATTAACCCCTTAGGTTCCACAGTGAGTATATCAAGCATGCTTTACTGCATATCCAGACTGATTTTACTGTTGTGGGTTTAGTAACACTTTAAGTGCCCTTCAACTTAACTGAAGTCCATCAGACAGACCTTGTACTAACAACTTCCATTTTCATAGTGTAGCCTCCATGTAGAGCAGGGGTAGACCACCTCTGCACTCCAGGCATGACTCCCAGAGGCAGAGACCTGACAGGATTAGTAGTTTCACTTTGGCTGGAGTGGCAAGGCTTACCTACTCCTGAGGTAGAGAATCTAAATATGGTTGCAGTCCAACAGGCACCGGAATTTGACCTGCATAGACCACTAGACTGGGGAGAGCAGGCATTTATTTCCATTCCAATTAAAATGTAGACTAGGATTTTCTTTTTAGATATAGCAGAGAAAGCATGCTTTTAATTTCTGGCATTCACTTTTAGGAACGATCAAAAGAAAACCAAAGTGAAGAAGAAAACCAGCAATCCTCAGTTCAATGAGAAGTTCTACTTTGAGGCAAGTTGAATTACACGTGTGATAAATTTGAAAATTACCTCACACGTATAACCTGTTCTCTCTTAAAAATTGGTGGTTTGGGGATATTTAGGTTTTCATACCAGCTTGCAAGATAAAGCTAAAGAAAAAAAATAAAATAAAAGATGATAATAAAATGAAATTTCCCCACAAGACTCCTAAGGAATACACTGGTTTGATCTGTGTCCTCCAGAGCTGCTGCTTTCAAAATAGAAGTTATTCTCCACTGGCTGGTTCTCCTAGGTACCTGCATTTTTCATACAACCTATTTTTGTGTTGATTTTATTTTCCTGGCACAGTAACCATTGTCTGTCAATATAAGTATATGATGGGGAGCAGCAGTATTACCTGTGGCTTTGCTCCAGATTTTCAGTATAGTTTTATATTGACATTTCCAAGCTTTAAATTACCATCAAATATAAAACAGAAAGTTAGTATATGTGCAGCCAAAACATTTTTCAGTTTTCAGACAGTGTGAAAAACAAACCGTTCTAATCTTCTAATCCTTCCCCACAAATGGGACACAGAAATTCTGACGGAGTTCTAGTCTTCCCCTTCTGTACTAAAGAAACACAATACAAATTTTTGTAATGCTTTTGGAGATTTCTTCTTACAGATCCCTGCATAACAGTAAAAACTTAAGAGGAGCTGTCATCCTACCTCACTCTCTCCAAAAAAGAAATGTTTTGACTGGACATAAACCTTTAGCTATACTATGAAATATCATGCATAACTGTACTGTATGTAAAAACTACCCATAACTTTTGAAAAGCGAGGAGAAGTGTGGTCTAATTTTCCATCAATTTTCCATGTTAGGCATGTAAATGGACTTTGTTTTTTTTTTTTTTAATGAAATTCTATTTCTGGGCAGGATGTCAGCTGTGTGTTTAAAATATATTCCCTACTGTACAACTTATTTTGTGTGCCATTTTCTGGCCCCTTAATAGACACTATTTATATAGGGAGTGTTTGCAGCCTCTATTTAGTGTTACTGAATGTATTACTAAATCAATAAATATTTAATTTTCTATCAAAATAAGTATTCATACACAACTCTTTTCAGGTGACAAGATCGAGCAGCTACACTAAGAAGTCCCAATTTCAAGTAGAGGAAGAAGATATAGAAAAACTGGAAGTGAGGTTTGTAGCTCAGAATAGTATTTTTTGCTATAAAACCATGCTTTTATAACGGCTGCTTTTGGTAAAGGTTTACACAAAGGTTATATTTAAAAATAAATAAATAAACCTGCAACTTCAGTCAAACACAGATGAAATACACATGGGAGCCATATATATATATATATTTACATACACACACACACACACACTAAAATATCATAAAGTGTTAAAAAAAAAAATAGTGAAAATTCTTAAAGGATAAGTTCACCTTTTAAAAAAACAATTATAATTGTATATCTTTTTGCAGGTAAAAATATGTGCATTTATTAGGAGCCTGCAGAGCATTTCACCTGTGATCAGCATATGTAGGGCTTCTGCAGACTGTTCTTGTAAGCTGTCCTTGTTACACAACGACAGGAAGAATCCATGAACTACCTAAAGCGCTCACCACTTCATGGTAGTTCATTGAGAAATACAAGCTGTCAGTCACAAAGGCCGACAGTAGTTGTAGTTCTCCCATTCACAGAACTTTCTGAATGAATGACTTAATCGGGTGGGTGGATCCCCGCACAGCTGTGTTTTTTTTTTAAATTGTGAAGATCTCCTACCCACTGTCACAGTGAGGGGGGAATGAGGGCTGAGAGCTGCAAGAGCAGGAACATGTTCCACCCTAAAAACAAAACAGGTGGTACATGTAACCTGTTTAAGAAGGTGAACTTATCCTTTTAAATAATGTAACTTGTGCAAAGACACATAAAGTCCACTTGAAAGATAATACCACAATAATAGTTATAAAATTCTAAATAGTTGATCATGTGTCACAGAACTTTATCCAGTGTCCAACACCACCAATCTCCCAGTGTTCTGCTACAAAACACCACAGTGTTATTCAGGTGTGCCCTCACCTATTTAGAAGGATCTTGGTGTTCAAAAGAGGTCAAACATAGCATAAAATCAAAAGCCTCCATGGGCTCCTCCACAGCAGCCAAATCAGTGTCTCAACACCAAATAGTGAATGTTGATTGTGCGCTACCACTACTCTAAATAATAAACGTGTCAAGTGCCAGAGCTGCAGACACTAGAGATGTGTGTTCATCGCATACAAAAAAACTGTTTTTATATATATATATATATTTATATTTCTCCATGAGAAGGATCTCGGAGTTCTGGTAGATCACAAGCTTAATAATGGCATGCAATGCCAAGCAAACAAAATTCTCTCTTGTATTAAAAGAGGTATAGACTCCAGAGACAGAGATATATTTTACCCCTGTACAAATCACTCGTAATACCTCATCTGGAATATGCAGTTCAGTTTTGGGCACCAATTCACAAAAAGAACATTGGGGAACTAGAGAAAGTACAGAGAAGGGCAACCAAACTGATAAGAGGCATGGAGGAGCTCAGCTATGAGGAAAGATTAGAGGAACTGAATTTATTCTCTCTTGAGAAGAGGAGATTAAGGGGGATATGATCAACATGTATAAATACATCAGTGGTTCATATAGTGAACTTAGTGTAGAGTTATTCACCCTGAGGTCATCACAGAGGACAAGGGGGCACTCTTTATGTCTGGAGGAAAAGAAATTTAATCTCCAAACATGGAAAAGTTTCTTCACAGTGAGAGCTGTGAAAATGTGGAATAGACTCCCTCAAGAGTTGGTTCTGGCCAGCTCAGTGGATTGCTTTAAAAAAGGCCTGGATTATTTCTTGGATACACAGAATATAACTGGATACTAACATTTATAGGTAAAGTTGATCCAGGGAATATCCAATTGCCTCTCGGGGGATCAGGAAGGAATTTTTTCCCATGCAGGAGCAAATTGGATCATGCTTTGCTGGGTTTTTTGCCTTCCTCTGGATCAACTGTAGGTCTAGGATTATAACTTTTTTTTTTATGGTTGAACTGGATGGACTTTTGTCTTTTTTTCAGCCAGACTATATATATATTTGTGTTTTGCTGCTCAAACAAAGCAAAAAAGCATCCTCATCCACCACAGACATTATGCAAGTGAAATCATGTATACGTAGTGTAACAATAAACTAAATATCTGTAAAGTCTCTTTTGAAGTGTTAGTAGTGATCAATTAACATCTCTTCCTTTCCAATATATACTGTCACAGATATTCCTACTGGTAAGTGATCCCACTATCCCTGTGCTGTAAATTACAAATTGTGCTCCACTGCAAAACTTGAATCCAAGGTGGACCCTCGCCTTCATGTATTGACCAAAACGTTATAATAGGTCAAATAACACGTTTTTCCCTTCAGCTGGGGGCCACCATGATCATCACACTGGTCATGGCTTTCCTCTTATATCCACCGATTAGGGGTGTCTGTATCTTTAACCACTTCCAGACCGGACACTTTTACCCCCTTCCTGACCAGGGCAATTTTCAGCTTTTAGCGCTATCACACTTTGAATGACAATTGCGCGGGTCATGCAACACTGCACCCAAATGAAATTTTTTACCATTTTTTTTGAGATAGATAAAGCTTTATTTTGGTGGTATTTATTCACCACTGGGATTTGTATTTTTTTTGCTATGTAAATGAAATGTCCAAAAATTTTGAAAAAAAGTGTTTTTTTTTATAAAATTTTGCAAATAAATAATATTTCATCATAAATCTTAGCCAAAATTTATTCCGTTATCTTTTTAGTAAAAAAAAAATCCAATTAGTTTATAAGCAAAAATTATAATTTTTAAACATTTTTTTTACATTTTTATTTTATTTTTTTATATTATTATTTTTTATTTATTTTTTTTTTTTTTTACATACTGTCACCCTAGCAGTACAGTGTCACCATGGTGACACTGTACTACTTGTGAGGGGTGATGAAGATTTTTTTTTTTTTTTTTTACACTGATTGCTTTTACACCCATATAGGATGTAAAAGCAATCATTTCTCTTTCTCTCTGTGTGCATTCTTGCACTCATTGAGAAGAACTGAGTGAGCTGTGATTGGTCACAGCTTGTCACATGGTACAAGGCTTTTGTGAATAGCCTTGTACCATGTGACCTCTGTGATCATTCACAGATTTCACACATAGTAAGCAATGATGTCACAAGTGACATCTTGCTTACTACTTTGCATGTGATCACTGATTGGCCAATCAGTGATCACATGATCGGGACCTCGTACAGAGGTCCCGTCCGACGATCGGTGTTTCACTGTGTCCGGAGGACACAGCGGGCACCGGATCGCGATGCTGCGCGCTCCCAGGGAGCACGCACAAGCAGGGTGCGGGGAGGCCGTTTATAGACGGCCACCTGACCCTGCAGTGCCACCGTCCGGCCATTTATATACAAGGCCGGTCGGGAAGTGAAGTTTAAAGCCTTCACTTAATGTCAACAGTACTGCGCTCTGTAAACTGAACTTGCAACCACATAAAGGCCTCCATAGTGCAGTAGTTTAAAACAAACCGTTTTTATTGAAAGTATTGTACTCACATTGTCACAGAAGTATATCACATGGCAAACAATTAGAAACTTCCTTTAATATGAAGATTGTATATTACGCACATGCCATTTATAAATGATATTCCTCATATATTGTAATGATTTTAAGTTTTACATTATAATATAGCCCCTAGTGAACTGTTCATTTGTTGAACAAAACCTTCGCTACTTATCCCTGCATATTTGGATACTCAAACATTGCTCTGATCTTCTACATTGAGAACCAAGAAAAAATGGCGCCCGCTCTCCCGTGCGTGCGCATTGAATATTGATCTTCACAATGGCGACTGTGGAATACACATGCGCCAACCACCATTTAAGTGAACGGCGGACGGCGCAGTGTGATTAGCGTCCCCCCTCTGAAGACGTGCGTGTGCACAATATGCGTCAGGAGGAGCCACATCACGCCGTGATGTCACGCCGCCGGAGCAACGTGGAGCTCCGGCGGCCATCTTTGAAATCGGACAGTCAGTCCTGTTTGCTCATTGAATGTTTTGTTTACCATTTGATGCATCGACTTTTAACTTTATTTGCCTCATACTTTTCATCTATCTACTACACTATGGGCGTATCTTTGTTCTAACCCCCTGGGGGAGCCTTAAATTGTCAGACAAATTGCCTCAGGAGGAATCCTTATATCCAGAGAGGAAATCTCCTACCCAGGGAGCAATACCGGTTTAACCCCTTAAGGGGAACTCTGGTGGACGTGGATCACCTGTAAAACCCCAAGGATCCTGTCTGATGACCTACCATCCCTTAGAGGGAAGACTACCCAGTTCCTGACTCCTCTTGATGACACCTGGAATGCTGATATAAGGCGCAATTTATATGCGCGCCTGGTGAGTGTGCATTACTTACATTATTACTGCACGGACACCGGTTCCAGAATAACCAGAGCACAAGAGTCACCTTTTGAACTGTCTTACTCACTATTTGAACTGGTTTTATGAGCTTTTTATGTATTTATATTGGAAACACATTTACAGATATATTTATTTATTGACATTTAATTTCTTAGCGCTGCACCCCCCTTTTACAGTACATTTTGTAAGGTGTTTTTGGTTACCTTTGTGCATAGCGGCTTTTTTTTAATATATTTTAGGGTGCTCACAATTTTATTTAGACAATTATAAACAACTTGGACTGCAAGCACTCAGAGTTTCACCTCACTTCTGACTCTCCTGCTCTTGTGTCACTTGGCTCCTCCCACCGCGTAGCATTATGGGTCACGTGACTTTCACCCCTGAGCACTGGGATAGTGGGATCACTTACCAGTAGGAATATCTGTGGTGGTATATATTGTAAAGGAAGAGACTTGAAAGGATCACTATTAACACACTTCAAAGAGACTTTACAGAGTTTTAGTTTGTTACACTATGTACAGTCATGGCCGAAATTGTTGGCACCCTTGATATTTCTCCAGGAAATCATGTATTTCTCACGAAACGTATTGCATTAACACATGTTTTGCTATACACATGTTTATTCCCTTTGTGTGTATTGGGACAAAACAAAAAAAAGGGAGGAAAGAAAGCAAATTCGACATAATGTCACACAAA